AGAACCTATAGGGAGGTAATAAAGATTCAATGAGATCATAAGAGTGGAGGTGCAATCTGATAGTACTGGTGTCCTTACGAAAAGAGGAAAATACCCCACAGATTGTTCACTCTCCACACATCACGAGGAAAGGCCATGTGAGAAGGCCACTCTATCTGCAAGGCAGGAAAAGAGCCCTCACTAGGAACCAAATGAGCTGGCACCTTGATCTAGGACTCCTAAAGCTCCAGAACTGTGAGAAACTAAATGTCTATTGTTGAAGCCACCTGGTCTGTAGCGTATTGTTATAGCAGCCCAAACTATCTAATATGGGTGGTGAAGCTGGGAAACATGTCACCAGAGGACACATTTCTGCCATGCTCAACAAGGGAATTTCAAAGGATGAGCCACAAGAGAGGGAGAATCCTAAAAACTCCTGCGCTCCAGTTGTTTAAACACAGGACAGACAGCAGAACACTATCAGAAGTATTCTTCTTTCTTTCGTACCTACTATATATATATATGAATGAATGAGTTTTATAATCAGAAAATTTTTTAATAATAATATATGCATGGTGTACTTTATTAAGTGTTCAATGTAGCTCCACTTCTTTTTCTTTCTCAGCCTACTTAATAATCATCTAAAATAAAAAAGAATTTTCTACCAACTAAAGGCTTGATTTGGAAACCATTATCAAAAATTTATCATTTAAGCTAGGTTGCTACAGCTTTGGGAAATAAACATAGGGACTTTTTCAAGACTTGAGAAATGAACTGATGTTCAAAATTACTTCTCAAGAAATGTATCTTTTTGCTTTGTTTGCTTTTTCTTTCAATTCTGTAAAGGGATTCTGTTGCTTTTTGCTCAGAATTTTTTTTTTATAAATATGGACAGAGGTGAACAAAAAGAGATGCCAGGCTCCTCATCCTTGACTGGGACTTCCTGGTCCATTCCTTTGTTGTATGGTCCAACTAACATGGAAAGAAAATTTTTTTGAAATCATTTTAATGATCACTAGGATAGAATTAAGATGGGGAAATCATCAACTGTAAAGATACGTTTTTGTGACCAAAACAGTCAAGATGGTTCACTCCATACTGATTTCCCCAAAGCAGATCCTGTTTTTAGGAAAAGGCACTGTAGGAAGCAGTGGCCATCAGCTGTTCTAGTTAAATGAATTAACTGGAGTAAAGTGGCCTGGAAAGAGAAAAAAACAAAGCCAAACAAGGATACCAGCTTTTAGCCACCAGAGTAATGCTAGAGAATATGTTTAGCAGCTCCCCAGAGGGAAGATGATGGCCTCCTCCAAGAAGTCAATAAAGATCTCCCATAATATCAGAATTCAAGAAACAGCCCATCTTACATTATACTAACGGAACATAGATAATTAGAAATCAACGCTCAAATCCAAAGTTACATACATGCATATATTCTGCCACTAAGTCTCCAATATCTAATGTTATGAATTTCCTTTCCTTTAACTGACTTCATGTGTGCTTTAAAATTACCGTTTCTTTCTTTTATGTTTTTGACAGAGAGAAAGAGTCTCATTATTTTGCTCAGGCTGGATTCCAAACCCCTGGGCTCAAGCCGTCTTCCCTTCTCAGCTTCCAAGTAGCTGGGATCACAGGCGCGCGCCACTGTGCCTGGCCTATGATTATCATTTCAGTAGGCAGTTTTCTAGTTTCCAAACAATGTAATTGTGAACATTTAATCATTTTTTCCCTCCTGTATATTATACAGGGATAAAAACTTAGAAAATGCCTTGGGTTTTGATTGGTTTTCCTCATTAATTAGATGACTCTTTCAAAATATCCTTGACTTTTAGAAGCTGCTTTTTTTTTCTTTTTTTGCAAGTAGTAAATAACAGCTGTAAAACAATAATTTCAATAGAAATAGGCCACTGGAGTAGATACACAGCCAGACTCACAGGAATCTGAGAACAGCAAAATAAAAAATTGCCAATTCTTATGATGCTAATTCATCAAACATAACCACGAATATAACAATATTCAAAAGAATAAAGTTCGTGGGGAGAACAATCAGTAAAATTTTCCTAAGTACTTTTTTGTTTTCTGCGTTTAGGAAGTAACATGGTACATAACAGATAAACAACGGGCTTCAGAATAAGACATTATCTAGGTCTGAGTTTTAGTTCAAATGTAATTGTTATGTATTTGATCTCCGTATGTTCTCAGCTTCTAGTTCTTATTAATAATAGTAACAATAACTGCCTGAGATAGATGTCCACATTAGTTTATATTTGGGATTCTTGCTAAATCAGTATGATTATCAGATTGTGTTGCATATTATGAAACCAGACCAAAAATCTATCCAGACCCTGTGTGTAGTGGAATGACCATTTGTTTCATTACTCACTGTGGAAGAGAGAACCATTACTGCCTTCTCCAGCTCCCTATGTTCCACAACACTTGTCCTTTCTGTAATTCATCCATGCAAAGCAATTTCCCTTTCCCATTCCTTGGAATGCTTGTCTTCTCAGTCTTAGCTGGCTCCTTTTCTGGTCTCAGTTCAAGTATCATTTTACTCAGCACTTTTCTAGCTTCCACTGCCCTATTCTTCCTAATAGATCACCCTGTTGATCTGCAGTTCCCAGTACAGGACAGTATCAGGGTTATGAATCATTTGTTGTCTGTCTCCACCGACTAGAACGTAAGCCCCAGGAAGGAGCTTGCTCATCTATTTAATTGCTGTATTCTCTGAGCCTACAACAGTGCCTCATACAAAGTAGACTCTCGTACTCAATAGGAAATTGTGGGATGGATGGATGAGGAAGGGTAAGGTTTAAACAAATGATAAAGATCCTCCTCTGTTCATAATCTGAACACTTTCCATCACTTTTTTGGCCAACAGCTGCTCTTAGCCTTCATCACCTCTTCTTATCTAAGTTGCTACAGTAAGCATCTCAAGGGATCTGCCTGTTTCTACCATTGTCCCGCTATGGTCTATTTTAACACAACAGCCAGGCTAATCCTCTCTAAAACATTTAAGTCACTCTTCATTGATAAATCCGATGATGGCTCCCCATGTCACTCAAAAGCCCAAATCCATAAAATAATCTACAAGGCCCTACTTGATGTGGCTTACCCCCTACTTCCTTTCTGTACTTCCTTTCTGTCACACATTGAACGGTATCTTCTCTTGCCTTTCTGTCCTTTGAATATGCTAGGTACCTTAGGACATTTGCTCTAGGCTGTTTCTTTTTCCTAGTGCCTTTTGCCCATATATACTTGGATCTCCATATCCGTGGGTTCCTAAGGAATCTGTGGATTCAGCCAAAAGCTTGGAAATAGTTGGGAAAAAATAAATGGCTGCATCTGTTCTGAACATGTACAGACTTTCTTATTGGTCCTTATCCCCAAAACAATACAGTGTATTCACATTAGGTATTATAACAAACCTAGAGATGATTTAAAGTATACAGAAGGATGTACATAGGTTATATGCAAATACTACACCATTTTATATAAAACGCTTGGGCAGTCATAGATTTTGCTATCCGTGGGAGGTCCCAGAACCAATTTCTAACACAGAGGGATGACTGTATCTCACCAGTTTACTTTCAGATGTCTCGAAATAATCTAACCTCCCTGTCGAAACCTACCCTGACAACTTTAATACTGCAACCAACCAACCACAGCCATGCCAGCTCTCCCCTTCGGTCTTTTTCCATAAAACTTATTTTAACCTATTGTACTACTTATTTTTATACTATCTTTCCTACCACCCCTTTCTACAACATAAATTCCATGAAGGGAGGAATCTGCTTTTGTTCACCAATGATTCCCAGGCACCTGAAACTGTAAATGGTACACAGTAGCACTCAGTATCTCTTGAAGAATCATCACTCTCAATATATATAGAAGTCAAGTCATGAGGTGGTTCACAAGATCTACTCCACATGAATGCACACCAGGACCCAGGAAAAGGGGATCCCAAACCTGAAGCCTATGTAATTTCCAGCTTCATGCGTAGTTCTCACAAAGCAGGAAGGGTTCTGCGAACCCTGAAGCAAACTGCCTAGATCAGTGTCATAATTCTTGTTTTTGTGATTCTTACATTCTCTGCATCTACTTGCATTTTGTGTTCCCTAAGTAGACCTTTTTGAAACATTCCTATTTTAAGAGGCCAGTAATAGCTACCATTTATTAAGCACCTAACTACTGTTTGCGGTAAATGATAGAGTTGTGAGTCCATTAGATAGTATGATAGCTGGGGAACCCAGAACTATCCTGCCTTGGTCAGTTCCTGATCAGAGAAACCTACGCGAACCCACTGTAAGTGTGGAAAAAACAAATACTGAAATATTTTACAGGCCAGGCGTGGTGGCTCACACCTGTAATCTGAGCACTTTGGAAGGCCAAGGTGGGTGGATCACGAGGTCAAGAGATAGAGGCCATCCTGGCCAACACAGTAAAACCCCATCTACACTAAAAACACAAAAATTAGCTGGGCATGGTGGCGCGTGCCTGTAGTCCCAGCTACTTAGGAGGCTGAGGTAGGAGAATCACCCGAACCCAAGAGGCGGAGGTTGCAGTGAGCCGAGATCACACCACTGCCCTCCAGCCTGGTGACAAAGTGAGACTCTGTCTCAAAAAAAAAAATATTTACAAAGTCAATTAAAGACCAGTTCTAAGCTATGAGATATATCCAGTATTTAAGCATACCTCACAAAACCGAAAAAAAAAAAAAAAAGAAATGTAGACCCCAGGAGCCAAAGATGACCTGCTTCCACTATCCCCGGGTTCTAGGATATTCCAAGATATACTGGAATAGGTAGGGGGAGAAAACAATATGCATTCAAGTGTCAAGTTCAACTAAAGTTGAGACTATAATTCTGAGCTGGTAAAAGTAAAATTTAACTAAAGTATTATCACAATAATGATGCTTGATACAAGTTTAGTGGCAAAAGAATCATTTCTTTGATCCTTATCTAAGATTTACAGGGCTGACCAAAAGTTGAAATTATTGGCATAAAAGTGATTAAAATCAGACGAAGCATGGTAAAGACCGCTTTATTGGCGGCAGTTAGTACAAGTCAATTAATATTGATCCCCAAAGAACAGCTCAGTTATTTATCATATTACTGGACCATAAAGAGCGGAATGAAACTGAACCAAATGATTGCTGTGATGACTGAAGTCAATCCTGCTTCTTGGGAAATGAAGCCACAGCCAGTTGGTATATGGCATATGCTGCTCCTAAAAATAAAAAACAAAAAAGAACTTAACCAGAAATTCTGAGCTCTAAGTGTATAAATTTAATATTCCAGTTCAAAAGTCGTAAGTTGGCATTAAGATTACTTTAATTGGAACACCAAAAAGTATTTTGATAGGTGCTGGTAAAATTTTAAATAAATAAATGTAAAATATATTTAATCTACTTTTAATATAGAAAGTGTGGCACAATAATGTATGTCCACATAATATGCAAAAAGTTTTAAAAATAAGATTAAGAACATGTACAAAGGTTATTTCCGTATTAACCAAGATTGCCTGAGAAATGCTAAGGATGATTCAAATGCCAGAGAAAAAAAGATTTCAAAATATGTAAGCCTTCCCTACAGTGAATGTGAAAAAAGGAACAGTGATAATTTTAATCAAATTTCATGTAAAAAATAGCTGACAACTGGAATTTCATTTTAAAAACTATTTACCAGAATGACTAAAAAATGGTCATATTGGTCAAAAGGAATTTAAATCTTTTTTTTTTTTTTTTTTTTGAGACAGAGTTTCCCTCTGTCCCCCATGCTGGGGTGTAGTGGCCCCATCTCAGCTCACTGTAACCTCCGCCTACCAGTTCAAGCAATCTTCCTGCCTCAGCTGCAGGAGTAGCTGGGATTAGAAATGTGTGCCACCACGCCCAGCTCATTTTTGTGTTTTTGGTAGAAACAGGGTTTCACCATGTTGGCCAGGCTAGTCTTGAACTCCTGACCTCAGGTGATCTGCCAGCCTCACAAAGTGCTGGGATTACTTACAGGTGTGAGCCACCTCACCCAGCCTATACTACCTTAACTGGCAAGCAAATGTGTTTTCCCAACGAGGGGATTGTGGGAACCCCAACTTAAAGCCAGTCAGTCAGAAGTTCCAGAGATACAAGCTTGCAACTGGTGGCAAGGAGGGGACAATCTTCTTGCCTGCAACCCATGGAATCTGATGCTATCTCCCAGTAGATGGTGTGGAAACTGAACTGGAGGACACCTAGCTGGTATCCACTGCTTGGTGTGTGGGGAAAAACCCTAACACATTTGGCCACAGAAGTATCCCATGTTGATTGCTGTGGTGAGAGTAGAGTGTTTCCTAAACAGGTAATTAACATAATATCCTCATCTTTAAAATTAGGACATATTATAGACTTCATGCAAGATTTACAGAAATCCAAGAACGTGGCATTCCTATGAATATGATGGGCACAAAATAATCACTCAAATATAGCTTCCCTTCTCTTTCTCTTCCAGTAAAAGTATTGTTCCATTCAAATTTCATTTTAGTTATAAATATGTCTGTACAGAGTTTAGATGTAAAGTGTGCTTTTATTTTGCATCACAGTCAAAATGTTTTAAAGCCCTTGATTGAAGACGTGGGATATAATGGATGTTTTTGACTGAAATATAGCCTTCAAGGCCACCAATGGTACTCAGAAAGCCACCTCTATCACAAGATAATCATCAAATCTTACTGGTGTTACTGTTTTATTAAGACATCAAAGCCAGGCACAGCGGCTCACACCTATAATCCCACCACTTTGGGAGGCCGAGGTGGGCGGATCACCTGAGGTCGGGAGTTTGAGACCAGCCTGACCAACATGGAGAAACTCCGTCTCTACTAAAACTACAAAATTAGCCAGGCATGGTGATGCATGCCTGTAATCCAAGCTATTCAGGAGGCTGAGGCAGGAGAATCACTTGAACCTGGGAGGTGGAGGTTGTGGTGAGCTGAGATCGCATCATTGCACTCCAGCCTGGGCAACAAGACCGAAACTCCATCTCAAAAAAAAAAAAGACATCAAAATTGCTCTTATGCAGCATGTATCAATCATCCTCTTGAATCCTTAAATGATACCAAATTCTGGAAACAGACTGTCTGCATTAAAATACTGGCACAGCAAAAGCAATATAGTTATTAGTTACCATTACTATTACTTTTCTATAAACCTTCAAACATTCCAAATGACTTACCACCAACTGTAAGAATCATGGTGGCTCTATATAGGATGACATCAACTATCCCACCCTTTAGATACACTGGGATTCCATCTTCCTCCTGGATAAAAAAAATAAAAATAAAAATAATAAGAATAGATGTCTCACTCATTTCCAACTAAATTTCCGAAGAACAGTCACATAACATGATATAGCTCCTTAAACCCTAGAATTAAAATATTTTAAATATTAACATCTAAAAGACCTGCAATTTTCTTGACTCTTTCTCTACTCCTACTACTTTTAAAATGCGAATTCCTAAAAGTCAGCAGTCTTCTTTCAATGTTAATTTGAAATCCATTAACGATGATCTTTCCAAGGAATATATAAACATTAAAGCTACCAAATATACACATTTATCTCAACAACTTTAATATAACTTAAATATAAAAGAATCAATAATTGTCACATATTAGATTTAATCGCAGGAAACTTCTTTTCCCTTAAAAAAGTGGGGAAGGGATTCTGGTTAATAACCCTAAATTATATCCCTAGCATCTAGTCCGGCATACAGTAGCTATTTAGTATTATCTGTCCAATAAAGTATTTTATTTTTATGTATATATGATACTTTTTTTAATCACTTGAAGCTTTACATGGTAAAAGCTAGAAACCGTAATAAAACAAAGTCACTCATAATCGAACTACTTATAAAGGTAAATTGCTCTGCTCCACCAAGTCTTTCCCCAAGAGACAACCACTATTAACAGTATGGTACATGTCCTTGACTATTTTTTAATGTTTATATTGTCATATGATCTAATTTATACACATACTTGTTGACCCTAACTCTACATTTTGGTAATCTAATTATTACAAGTAACAAACTCCTATAAAATACTCCAGTACCTGGAACAGCTTTTGTTTCTCTGCAACTCTATTTTTAAAGTGTGTGCGGGAAGTAGTGCTTATGGTCCTCTGCCCAATCTGACGAAGAGCCTAAAATGAAAATATTATTCAACAGATTTAGAACCTAAAGAAACCTTCAAATCTATCTTCACTTCTTCATATTATAGAAAAGGTAAATTGAGACTTTAAGCATATCTGATTTGTCAGAAGCAAAGTCATCGAAGAGCAGCCAGGTTTTTCAATTTGTCATCCAACCTCTGCTCTTCCAATTATATTCTGCAGTTTCCAAATACCATATTCGAGAAGCAATTCATACAAATTCTAACCAAAAAATAAAACCATGATATTTACCTCAACAGAACCAGTAGCACTTTATAATCCTTGATCAAAACATATTGACATACACATATTACAAAAATAGTGGTTAACCAAAGTACACTAACCTCAAATATTTTCATATTATCTTCATATTATCCATATTATTAAAAATCTACTACTTGGCCGGGCGCCGTGGCTCACGCCTGTAATCCCAGCAATTTGGGACGCTGAAGCGGGCAAATCACCTGAGGTCAGGAGTTCCAGACCGGCCTGGCCAACATAGCGAAACCCCATCTCTACTGAAAATACAAATATTAGCCGGGTGTGGTGGCGGGCGCCTGTAATCCCAGCCTGGGAGAAAAAGGGAGACTCCATCTCAAAAAAAAAAAGACTTGCATTACACATCCAGTTGAATTAAATAATGAAACAAATGTGCTCTCGATATTCTAAAATAAATTACATTGAGCATTTTAATGAAGCAAAACTTCATTAAACAATTTAAAAGATAAAATAATCACTGTTGCATTTTCCTTTTCTTTTTCCAAATTTGGGGAAATATTTCACATGCTCAAAGTCCTTGGAGGGATGAAGGGCAATGCAGAATCACCTGACGGAAGTAACGCTGCATTTCGGCCATGACTAGTCCTAAAGTTCCACCCAAAATTGAATGGCTTGGGTTTTAAACTGCCTTCTGAAGTTCGCAAAGCTCAAAACTATTGAAACTTAAAACCTTTCAGTACCAGAACACCTTTCTGCTTCATGCTTCCGGGTATCAGACACTCCCCACCTGGTCCTAGGTTTTACTCAGATCAGAGCTAACCTCATCAACGGCCCACAGCGTCAGGGGAGGTGACTAAGAACCCAAGACGGGTCTAACCCACGAGTCTCTGGTCAGTTCCCCAGTCTCTCCACTATTTACACCTACCCATCAACGGCCTGGGGCGAGAAGAATAGATAGAAGGGAAAGTAAGGTCGGGGGAAAAGGACAAGAATCCAAGGTGACTTCATTAGCCGCCTTTTGCATCCCTCCCAGGTGAGCGTTTTCTGCCGCGGTGCCTTAACCTCCTCACCACTCCCTCGCCCCCATGACGAATGCAAGTTGAGAAGCTGCTCACCAGCAGATTCCGCAGCATCTTGGCTCAGTTATTGACCACCAACCGCGACAACTGAACGCCAGAAACGCAAATCGCCACGGCCGGAACCGGAACTAACTCCGAGTCTTGCGTAAGCATTCAGGAACCTAAATCTCTCCGGGCGGAAGAGAAGCTTGCACTTCTAACCATCGAGAGCAAAAGAAAAACTAGAGTGACAGTACGGGCTAGACACTCTAGCCGACTCGCCGTCTCTGTCCCGTGTCTTTCAAGACCTTTTTTGAGATTCAGTGGGATGCTCCCGGGAGCTAAGGCTGGGGAAAAGGCAAACGATTTGTGAGGCGAATGTAATAAGCTTAGATGAAGTCAATGTGAAACCCAGGCTATCAAAGAAAACAAGTGTCTGTTTTGAGCGAGAAGGCGTAAAACTGGGCAACCTTTAAGCCGCTAGAAACTGAACAAAGACTGAGTTGGCCGAAATGCAGCTGTGAAGCCTCATAAAATACAGAACAAAAAGAATTACTGCGATACAATCAGTTTTTTCCACCGAAGAAATTGCTGCGGCGCATTAGTATTCCTTGTGTCTAGAATATGCTGTAAGAGCTGTGTCAAGATACCAATTTTTATCTTCTTGTACCTTCGGCCGCTACAGAACTCCCCACGCAAGAAGCTCTTCCACAGTGTCCCCAAATTGTTGAAGGGGTTCACTCGCTTCTGAGGCTGAGAAAACGTTGGGAGACAAGAAATGGGTTGACGAATCTGAACTCAAAAGTCTTGCTGTCCCAAATCCAGCAGGGCATTAAACTCCATGACTGGAGTTAAGAAGAACAGCAATTATTTATTGTACTGAAAGACTGTTGCTCTCATCCATTTTGCTTAAGTAAACCCCATTACAAGTGTCTTTATTTCTTGTGCCTACCCTCAAGTGTGTACAAATGCAAATATCTCCCCTGTATTACAACCATCTTTCCACCTTTCTACAAACTCTTACAAATTATTTGATTGCCATTCCAAATAAGAAACCCAGGTTCAGCAAAGGATAAAAGTTAGTAATATTAAAATTATTCCTTGTAATCCTTGGGGTTTTCTTCTTCACAATCTACTGTATGTCAATGGGCCCACAAGTTACCAGTCCTAGTTAAAATTCTCTTCCTCACCAAAGTTTATAAACACCCAATTCATGTCTTCCCTGTATTGGGACCGGAAAGACCTGGTTTTCTACCCCACTCTAAATTATGCAGGTAACCAAAACTTTGGACAAAATTACCACGTGCCAATAGGTAGGACAGGTTTTTTTTGTTTGTTTTTTTTTTAAGTAGATTGTCATTAATCTCAATTTGTTAGTTGTATGTGCTCTCTCATGTTTTCTCCACTTAGCCTACTCTAGATTGTAAATTTCTCAAGCGCAGAGATTATGTGAATTTCTTACCAATGCCCTAGCACTGCTAAAGTGGGTATTCACTAACCAATACATGAATTAAATACACTGGGTGACAGATCTACGAAGCTTATGACCCTGTTCAAAAAGAGCCATGGAATCACATGAAATCAATCTTAATGTAGACATAGATTCTAATATGCATGTTATTCAGTACAATTTCCCCCTTTACTAGATCATTCCATCTAGCAACTGCTCCCTTGTAGTCCTTCCTGGATCCTTATCCTCTTAACCTCTAAAATTTCAGTTTCTCACCTTTTTTATACATTCATCCCTTTTGTGATTTCATCTAGCATTGAACTACTGTAGATTAGTAGCATTGAACTACTCCCACTTCTGTAGACTGTATGAAGAAAAAGAAGTTTTTAAAAAAATACTATTCACATGCTGATAATATGTGACAAGCATCTCAAACTTACACACAAAACTGAAAAGTAATGAGCATCTCAAACTTACGCACAAAACTGAATTCTACTTTCCACTTCTATTCCCAAACTTTCTCCTCTACACTTTTCCTTATTTCAAGCCCTAAACTTTGACTATTTTCTATCATATTCTATAACCAATTTATTAAAAATTTCTATTGGCGGCACCTTCACAGTATAATCTGAATTGGACCACTTCTTATCTCCAACACTACTATTACTACAGGCCAAGCCATCAACATCTGTTGCTCAGATTATGTCAAAAGCCTTTTTAACGGATTTCCCTGTTTCCTCTCTTCCACTATCTTCCACACAGCAATGATTTTTTTTTTTTTTCCTGAGAAAAATGAGTTTCCCTCTTGTTGCCCAGGCTGGAGTGCAATGGTGAGATCTCAGCTCACTGCAACCTCCACTTCCCGGGTTCAAGTGATTCCCCTGCCTCAGTCTCCCAAGTAGCTGGGATTACAGGCACCCGCCACCACGCCAGGCTAATTTTTTGTATTCTTAGTAGAGACGGGGTTTCACCATGTTGGCCAGGCTGGTCTCTAACTTCTGACCTCAGGTGATCCACTCACCTCGGCCTCCCGAAGTGCTGGGATTACAGGCATGAGCCACTGTGCCCAGCAGCAATGATTTTTTTAAGAACTTAAGTTGGATCATATGAATCTGCTCTAAACTCGGTTGTTTACTCATGTATCCCTGACATCTAGAATAGTAATTGGCACATAGAAAACGCTCAATATATATCAGTTAAATAAATGAACTATATACTGCACAAAAGAATAGATTATTGAGTATAAAAACTCAAAACACCTGTCTTAATACTTGTACTCCCTCCGAATGTTTTCAATCCCAGGGTTCCTCATTCATTATCTCCTTGCTCCTTTTCTGTAAGTTGGTGATTATTCTGACATACAAATGACTGAAATTTCCCTGTGTACTTAACAAACTTGATTGGAGCTTCCTAAGCACACTAGAAACGTGCCACATTTTAAAATTCATCCTCTGAACCAGAAGTTACTTTCAAAATAGATTCCTTTCCAAAACATCAATTTGGGGTTCTTTTAATCCTTGCTCTTTTGTAATGTTAGAAAATTAGAAAATGGTTTTTTTGGAAAATACTTACTCCAGACGGTTTTGTAACAGTATAACAGAATTGGCAGGGGGAATATGTGGGGAATATGTGAGAAACCTAAGGCAGGTCATGGTTAATTTAAGTCTTGTCAGTAAGATGGACATCAGATGTGAAAGTACTAAGTAAAAATATTTCATAATAACTGATGCAAAGTTAACAAAGCACAGTTACCCAATATTTTTTTCCTTTAAAAAGCAAACAAGACTGTACCTACGCAACAATCTTGCATGTTCTTCACATGTACCCCAAAACCTAAAATGCAATAAAAAATAAATGAATAAATAAAAAGCAAACAAGATAACCCTGACTTTTATCCTGCCTGTAGAATCTATAAATAACAAAAAGAGGGAAGTCAGAATAGTTTTGTGAGATTTGGATGTGTGTGTGTGTGTGTGGACACACACATCTGTTAATCCTAGAACCATGCTTAATCCACTTTCAATTTTATAAAAATATAGAACAGTTTCATGTGAACTTGAATGTTTCAAACTACTGATTAGGTAAAAGATATTTCAATATAATTTCATATTTTATCACATTCTGTGTCATCTTTGAAAATGAGGAAACAGTTCTTGTCTTAGTTGTTGTATTGGTTTATTATTAAATAATTTCATTGCAAGCCTCAGACTTTTCATCATTAAAGTTAAAGAGTTGGACTAACTCCCAATGATCTTTATCTCTGACTCTAAGATCCTTATGATAAACAATTTCATACAACATATGAATGAGGACTAAGCTCTGATTTCCTTTTTATCTTGCCCAAATTCCTATCTGAGAGGTCTGGGGAGTCATGCCCTACAAACCACAAATTCTCATCAGATGGGTTTTATTTAACCCTGTATATCAGGACTCGCTTTCAAATCTGAGTCTGACATAAGAAGGAAGAAAATCAAAATGTTTTATCCCAAAACATTTCTCTGCCGTATCTTGAAATTACCCTGCAAAGTCTCTTGTAGGAAAAAATCTGCATTCTACAGAGAATCCCTTTTCCCCCTTTGTTTTCCTTCCTTCTTTTCCAGATCCAGGAGATAATCAACTAAGAGCCAGACACCCTTTTAAGTCCAGTAAGAAACATTTTACAACCTGCTCTGCAGTCTGCTCAACTTCCTCTGCACAATAAAACTTAACTCTCCACAATCCTTTATCTTAACCTAAACATTTCTTTTCTATTGATCCCAGATCTTCAGATAAACTCAACCAGTTGTCAACCAGAAAGTGTTTAAATTTACCAGAAGTCCCAGAATTCCCCTGCTTTGAGTTGTCCCGCCTTTCTAAACCAAACCAATGTATTTGATGTCTCATGCCTCCCAAAAATATATAAAACTAAGCTGAACCTTGACCACCTCGGGCACATGTTCTCAGGATCTCCTGAGGGCTGTGTCACGGGCCATGGTCACTCATATTTGGCTCAGAATAAATCTCCTAAAATATTTCAAAGTTTGACTCTTTTCATCAACGTGAACATGAGTCACTTTCTGTTGAACAATAATTTACTGGTTACCCACAATAAATATAACGCTTTGTAATATACTGGGGGGAATTTTTTTTTTTTTTTTTTTTTTTTGAGACAGAGTCTTACTCTGTAGCCCAGGCTGCAGTGCAGTGGTGTGAACTCATCTCAGTGCAATCTCCACCTCCCTGGTTCAAGTGATTCCCCTGCCTCAGCCTCCTGTATAGCTGGGACTACAGGTGCACACCTCCACACCCGGCTAATTTTTTGTATTTTAGTAGAAACGAGGTTTCACCATATTGGCCAGGATAGTCTCAATCTCCTGACCTCGTGATCTGCCCACCTCAGCCTTCCAAAGTGCTGGGATTACAGGCGTGACCCACCACACCTGGCCGGGAATATTGTTTTAAAGACTGTGATCTTCTGGAGAATATAATCTAATTAAGAATATAATACATACACAACAGTAAATTTGATAGACATAAATAACTCTCCAGGTAACTGGTACAACAAAAGTTGTATGGGAAATTCAAAGAAAAAAGAATTTTGGCAGAGTCTGGTAGAATAAATGAAGCAGAAATTAAAAGTCATTCCAGACTTAGGACAAGAACATGATTAACAATCAGAATTTGGAATTGAGCATTGATGTGCTGCAGGAATTGTAAAAACAGAGGCCTAGATGGAGTGAAAAGAGAAAAAAATGCTATT